TTAACGTGGAACAGTGGCTCGAATGAAGACTTTCATTTACGCTGACCTTTTCTCCACTCTATAAATAACCTTGCACAAGACACCTTGAGAATGTGTTCTCGCTTTATCCCTGTATTCTAGCTCCCCTCGCTAATGTGCCTCAGCTCCCAGGCTGCTTTCTTAGCGAAGATTCCAGTCTGCTGCTGAACAAGTCAGTTTCCTCTGTATATGATTCAACAGAACCTGATTCCTTCACTTCAGAGGTCTTGTCTCAGTTTTAATGTGGCATTTGTTCATGTGATTATCTGTTTTATCATTCGTTTGCTAGCAGCCCCTTAGCTCTATGACAGGACATACATCTGAATTTGTTTAGTGCTGAGACTCCACTGGCAATGGGATACTTAGCAGATTTAGCAGACAGTACATGCTCAATAAATAGTTTGGAAGGTACCCATTAATTACCTTCCTTTCTGAGAACAGAGGGCTTTCCTGATGACCTCAAGCTATGGAACAGAGAATGCACACTTGACCACAAGGACAATTTTGTTTTTGTCTTGCTTACAAGATTTATCAACAATTACCAAGGGTATTCTTCCTCTCTTTTCTGAGACCAAAATAAATAAGCCTATTTGGGTTAAGAGCCCCATGAGCCACTTTGTTCCCTGCTAGAATTTTCAGGGGAAGCCAAAGCCAGAAGAGTATGGTGACAGAGAGCTCTTGAGATTTTTCTGGTGTTGAGCAGGCTCTGCACCACCTGTGTCGCCGAGAACTAGAAACAGGAATGGAACCTGCGTGGCTGTTACATGTCTTCCAGAAATTTAGATAGATGAATTCCGGTCAGTTTTGCGCCATAAAGCATAAACAGAATTTTGAAAATGGATCGGAAGATAACGTACTGCTTCTTGCAATCAGTAAGGGACAGAAGTTCCACCAAGGGGATCCCGCAGGCTTTCAGAAAGAGAGTTGCCTGGGTAAATGATCTGTTTCACTCTCATTACCTCTAAAAATGACTTAAAAATCAATATACAGAAATAGGTGTTTAAATTCCCCAGCCGGTCTAGCAATATGAAAGAGAAAATATGAAATCAACACACTGTTCCCTATATTAAAAAATGCCACTTATATTAAATTTGATTAAGTTCATATGGCTTTTGTGCATCTTTCCAATATCTAGGTGGTTTATTCACTTATGTATTCATGCCAAATATTCCAGAGTAGATATTATCTTCAGACAGTGTTTGAGGTTCTGGGGATTTACAGTAACGAAAAAAAAAGGACGGACACACACACAAACAAACACACACATTTTCTTTGTGAAACCCAAATGATGGCAGTAGACGAATCATAAAAATAGCATAAAGCATATTGTATAATCATCATCAGAAAGAACAAAAAACTATAGCATAGACAAAGGGTATGGAATATAGAAGGAATGATAATTATAGTTTAGATGGAATGGATAGTGAAACTCTCTCTAAATTATGACTTTCAATTCTGTTCTAATTCCACAATAAATAGAAAGACTTGTCTTGCTGGGCTGCAGAACTATTCAGTCATTGTACACTATCCCCGTAACTCCGCATAAACTCTTCTGAGTACATGCAGTGCCTCCCTTCACACATTCCCTTCCCATCAGACTCAGGGCCAAACTTCAAGATGTGCTGAGGCATCACTCCCTCCCTGCCCTCATCACTCTGAACTCACCCCTCCTCAGACCCTCAGAGTCTGGTCCTCCCGTACGAAGCAGTTGTTTCTGTGTTGTCTGCCACTCCCACAGTAAACACACATACACATAATTAATAATATAATTATAATTACAATTTTTTTTTAATTTTATTTATTGTTTTTTTTGTGTGTGTGTGTGTGGCCAGCTCAGCCCACCAGGGGGCTGGCTGGCATGTGGTGCTGGGGGATTGAACCGCGGTCCCTGTGTTTTGCTTAGCTTGTTCCAAGTAGGTGCTTTAGACCGCTGAGCCATCTCACCAGCCCTATAATTACAATTATTATGTGCCAAGCACTATCCACCTTCTCTTATTTATCTTATTTGCATAATCTTTGAAAGCTTTAATACTTTTCCCAATAAGTGTCTGCCTAGCACCGAGAAGGTGACAAAGTCAACTGCAAGCTCTGGCATGTCTATCACTTATGCTTAGATTATGTCTCAGCATCCAGCTGCTACAGATATATAAAAAGCAGATGAAGGATGATGGATGACGTAAGGCTATGTGTGTGGCTTGTACGAGCCAATCATTCAAAAGCTGGCTCTGCCCTTGAGCTTGAACTCTGCCCACTAGGTCCAAGGCCCTCGCCACAATGATTTGCAGGAGGGCCTTTTATAGAGCAGGTATGCTCATAAGTAACTCATGCTTCTCAGCTGGTTCCTGCAGAGATGCTCTGCGGCGAAGTGGTTTAAAGAGTTGGATGTGGAAGAGTGTGCACAGAGATAAAGCACTGTAGAGCTCTGGTGGGCAGCCCAATACGGATCATTCCTGTGCTCAGCCTGGCTCCTAATCTGAAGCAGCCACCTGAATTGTATTTTGGCTTTGCTACCACCCAATATCCTCAAAGGCAAGGATAGTGTCATTCAGGAGTGATATTTTAAAGAGGGAATACATATGACTGTAACTATTTACAGAAAAGCTCTACAGAAAATAAGTCTAATCCTCAACAGTGGTTTGGGAACCGGCGGGGTAGACGGTATGTAAAGGGTCTAATTCACATAAAACCTGTGTTGCTAAGACTCGGGATCATTTTTGCCATTTCAAGATTCAAAGTTCACCAGGGAGGGTTTTTGTTATTCAGGGAAGCACAAAACTTCTCAAGTATCACTAAGTTACATTAGGATGCTTTTTGCCTGGCTGTTTGCCTCTGTCTCTATTACTTCATTTAAGGACTAGAAGTGAAATCAAGCATCAGATTGTTAGTCCAAAACAAATCCTGCTTTAATTACATTCTCTATTCAGAGAAAAATGGAAAACTCTCCAGGGTTCAGCATCTTCAGTTGTTTACATTATGCAGGACACAAGCAGGGTGATACACCCGTACCACAGGGTCACTAAGAAATATACAGAGGAAGTATCCATCCATCAAATATATAGACACATATTTCTAAAATTTCATATGGTATGAAAACATCTTGCCTGAGAGCTAAAGGCATTTTGATTATCTAGAAGTAGAAATTTAAGAACTTTGCATACTGCATTCAATAACTAAAGCACAAATTATAAATTCCAGATACCTAGTTACTAATATACAACAGGGTGCAGTGGGAAGGAAGGTTGGTTGAGAAACTCATATTCTAACTCATGGAGCTAGATGTGTTCTGGAATTCAGAAATTTTCACAGTTAGAAGCATATCAAGGCACATGAACTGAGTAGTAAGTAACACCATCAGCAGGGTCTGGGCAGCATCTTATAATCAACTCCATTAACATTTCTGCAATGAAATGTAAGAGCAGTCCGAGTAATAGGATATATTATGACTATAACTAGCCTCAAGTCAGTTCTGCTACCAGAATTTGTATCAAGCATACAAAATTCTTTCCTGGGTTTTGGACTTAGAAAAAAGGAGTATGAATTCCTTTGCTGTGCAATTATTTTTGCATCTCTGTGTGTGTATGTATGCATGCACACACACATATATTTGTCTGCATATCTGTACATATAAACGTATACAAATAAAAAAAAATATATATATATGAAATTCTTAAGATCTGATTGCTGATTGGTTGGTGCCAATGAGGTACTTTTATAATTGTACTCCACACAGAATGAACACTCAATATTAGTCATCATCTGAGTTCCTTGAAGGAAAAGCACATTGTTTTACTGTTATGCTCCCATGTGCCTACTGGAGGGCCTGCTACAGACAAAGCACTGAGAAATTATGAATGCAGGGACTCCAGACACCTCCTCACCCAAGCTGTCTTCAGTCAAGGAGAGCCTTGTAAAATGAGGAACAATAATCGCTGCATAACAAGTTTTGTAAGATAATAGCATGGACAAATTAATGCAAGCAAAACTTCCTAGTGAAGTACAAGGAGTTAATTCAAGTCTTGAAGATCAATATGCAATTCTCCTTTTATTTTTCTTGTAAACAACTGCTTTTAGGAAATGAATAGTATTGGCATGATTCATTTCTGAATCTAGCAGATCAGAGAAATCTGCCATTGGCAGGCTCAGAATTGAAATTTTACGTATGATAATAGTGTGAGTCAAAATGAACAGAAGCCCGAGAACAGTTCTGAGTGACAAAAAGTGGTTTTCTTTGTTTTGTTTTTAAATAAGCCACAGTGTGACTTTGCAAATCAGGCAGCCTGTGTCAACACAAACACCTCGCCATCCGGTGTGATGTGTGCACACGCAGGCATACACAACACACTCACACAACTAAAGCTTTAAGTATTTACCTTTGCTTCCACTAGCCAATGAATTAGTTCGTTTCCATAAATTTAATCAAAATGCAGAACAAGGCACCTTTCAGCATGAACATTAAAAAAATTTCACTCTCTGTCCTAAGAACTGAAACAACAAACAATGAAACAAAAGAGAGAGAAACGTATCTGAAACTGAAGGTACATGCAGTAAAATAAAATGAAGTGAAATAATACCTTCACAATTCAGATGGTAGGAATTCAAACTGAGCAAAAAGTTATACCTCTTCCAAGTTCCTGTCCAAGTACTACAAACTAGAAAAAAGAGGATTGGCATGGAGACCTCTCCAGTGAATGAGAAACAAAGCTTATTTGCTTATGCACTGTACAACTGTCCTTGCGTTGTCTCTCTAGGGGGCAAAAGAGGTGGGACTCGGGGTGGGAAGAGCTTTGCTTAGAAGACTATTTTAAATGGTTACTGTGGGATTATTCATATTCCTAAAGAAACCAACCAACCGGTTAACTAACTAACCATCTGGACGAGAGGATTTACAGCTAAGTGTGGCAACAGCTGCTGGGAAGCTGGTGTTAAACACTGAAAGACCATGAACGAACCTTGAAATTGGGATCTTAAAAACCGAAGCTTACCCGGCCAACAAGAATCGGTTCAGGTCCAGAAAACTCTTCCAGGACAAACATTTGATTCCAAACCCAGCCTCTTTTGGAGCGGTTCAAAATCCGCTGTTCTTCACTCAGCCTGTTTAGTTCCAAAGGGGATCCACTCATTACAACTTGAGAGTGATTCATTGGAGCCATGTAAATGCAAGGGGGAAGAGTAATCCAGAACATTATTAATGGAGTCCAGAGATCCAAGAGCATTTCTGCTAGCGGTTCTGGCATGGTCCCACCAGTTAAGCAAATCGCCGCGAAAATGAGACAATTACTTTGTTTGCCTCCGGTCTGCAGCCATCCAATGCATCATTCGGTGTGCAGCATTTACTTACAGCTCTGCCACGTGTTTAGAGCACTGGAAACAGACATCATCTAGGCAGCTTTCTGAGACCACAATCCATTGGCTTTCATTCTCATTGAAATTCCCTGCAAAAATGAGGAAGAAAGGTAAGGGTCTGCTCGAACAGATTTTAAAACGAAATCACTGCTTTTCAAAAGTACCCAAGTGAATATGAGTAGGAGCTTCCCTACTCTTGAGCCAAAGAAATGGATCTGAAGAATGAGAATAGGCCAGAAAGTCTTGGTCTATTTTTAAGAGCTGCTGAGATTTCAGTATTTATGCCATTGTTTCACCATCTATTAAAAATGTAAGTACTAGAAATTATCTTCCATTCCGGTTTCTTTCCTTTCTCCCCCTTTTGCTTCCTTTCTTTCTCCTTGACCTCCCTCCTTCCTTCTGTATGTCCATTCCTTGCTCTCTTTTCTGCCATATGTCTTGTTTATAATGCAGGTTGTAGTGGATGGAAGATAAATCATAGTCTCTTCTATTTCCATCTTTGCAGTTAACCTGTGTAAAGCGAGACACTGATGGTCTCTGTGAAAAAACACATATATAGAAAGGGGATTGCCCCAGTTGTTACTCTCTTAACAGTGAGTACTGGTCTGAGGGGTCTATTGAGGGTACAGAATACAGTTGTCTGCCAGGATACTAATAATGAGAGAATAAAATTAGAATGCTCCCAGAGAAAAACCATGATGTACGGTATGTATACTCAAATCAGGACAGGTCAAGGCTCCCAGGATAAGTGCACAGTTAACAGGAGATTTGAATGATGAAGAGCTCCTTTGGGAATGTGATATGGCAAAAGAACAATTTTCAATTGAAGAAATTAAGAAAAGAATGAATATCTATCATCTGTCTATCTATCTATCTATCTATCTATCTATCTATCTATCTATCTTATTACCTGAGGTGTCAAATACATTTTTTGCTTACCTTCAGTGTGGCAAAATGAGTTTCTTCCCTCTCAAAAAATATTTTTAAAGAAATAATGTTCACTGCAGAAGTCAGAAAGAAGACTCATTGAATTAGATTAAATGGGAAAGAATTCTTCAGGGCACCAGAGGGAATCGTTTGGCTTAGGAACTTCATAATACAGTAGGAACATTTCACATTGGCTCCCTGTTTCCATTCTGGCTCAGAACGAGGAGCCAGGGAAGTCATTAGCATTGACTCCACTGGCGAGTGTCCTCAGGTTGGAAAGGGATGAGACGCGGAGCCTCCTGCAAAATCAAGGAGTGCCCGATCCAGCAAGATGGGCAGTAGCTTTGCCCTGCTTGCCACTCTAGCTAGGACTCAGCTGAAACACTAGCACTGTGTGCCTACACTGAACTCCATGCTGATGGATGCACGAGACAGCACTGCAATCAAAATTTGGCTTGGAGAAAGCAAGAACAGCTTTCAGTGGTGCAAGCCCTCGATACAACAGTCCGGAGCAATGCATTATCTGCTTTTCCTGACATTGCAGCAAATTTGGAAATCAAGTCTTCTCTTCAGACATATTTCTGCTAAGATCCACATTCAGGGAAAAAAAATATATGTATATACTTTCATCCAGATGTGAGAGAAGAGTTTTACAAACTTCTGGACTGAAACAACAATTTTGAAAAGGTCTTCATAAAAAACAAATTCCCAATATTTGCATTTTACTGAATTGTCAATCCAGTTATTCCAAAGGTTCCTGCTGCCATGCTTTCTCCTAGAGAGTGGGCATGGGGGGATGTGGAAGCAGCATCAGAGTAGGCTGGAAAGTGTCTGTTCTAGAGGCAGAGAGACCTGCCCTTCAGTCCCAGCTTGCCGTACCTGTTTTCTCTGTCATATTAGAGAAGACACTCAATTTGAGCTCCAGTTTTCTTGTCAGCAAAAGAATAAGAAAAATAGTAATGCCTATCATAGAGGGCAATAGTGCTTATGGTTTGGAACTAAAAAAATGAAAAAATAAATAAGCATTGGAAGTCTTCATCAAATCATAATCCATGTACTTATCTTGGGCTGGATTAGGAGGGTAGTGGTGACAGGTTCCTCCCCCGCAGAGGCAATGGTAATAAAGATAAAGAAAAAGAATGAAGCCATGAGACCTGTACCATAAAAGCACACACAACCTTGGGCACAGAGGCACACACTTATGTCTCCATTACAGTGGCGAGGTGCAGGGAAGAGGAAGGTGATGCACTAAAGGATGGGTTGGACCATGGCAATGATGGCCATCCTCCAGTCACCGAGACTCCTCTGAAACTCATCTTAGGGTGGACACAAAAGCATTTCTTCTCTCCAAACACACTGTTCATGACAGGCCACACTTGAATGCTCAGAAGCTGTGGGTGCTATTCTCCAGGGGCCTGAATGCCACAGATGCAACCGATGGCTGTGAGTGACCTCTAGCGTCAGCCTGTGCAGGGGTTGGATTCCAGTCCTTACACTTATCAGCTGTTCAACTGGATGTTAATTAATACCAATGACCAATAACAACAACAACAAAAAGAAAGAAAGAAAGAAAGAAAGGAAGGAAGAAAGAAAGAAAGAAAGAAAGAAAGAAAGAAAGAAAGAAAGAAAGAAAGAAAGATAGATTACAATCTGGGCCCAACTGGTTATTTTTAGAACATGATGAGCTTATCTTGATAAAGTAGTTGACAGAGGCCAGTATGTGTAGTTCTTTCAAACTGTCAAGTAGGCTACCACTTCACTTGCGGAATTTAGTCAGAAATAGATCCAGAATAGGAAAACTTAATCTCCATTAAACCCCAAACACACGCTTTCTTCCTGTTACCTCTTTATGGCACTCAGGGAAGAATGGGACACAATCCAGTCCCTCCACAAACTCACTAGAATCAGGTAACAAGTAATTACAGATCCTAAAATAAATTTATACAAACTCATCAGAGTAAGCAAAAAGTGATAATAACGCCCTGAAGCAATGTGACATAATGGCTGAGTTTCATTAGTTAGAATAAATATATTAGTAAAGCGGTATGTCTGTGGCCACAAATAGAATCCATTACCATGATATCTTCCACTTGGATAAAGCTCTCTATTCACATTGTTGAGTTTAAAACTGAGGCAGAGAAGTCATTATCTTAAATGACTTGACTAAGGAACCCTTCCAGTAAGGACAGACCCATTCCTTTAATCTAGATAAAGTAACTTAAAATTCTATCACTTAATGTGAACCATCCTCACATCACATAACATGTGATCTACTTCGCTGCGTGCTATACACTGCAGGTAGCAAGGCAGACAGGTGAGCGCATCTATGAGCAGAAGCAAAGAACCTAGTTGGAAAAGGTAAAGAAATATGTAATCACCATAATAAGAGAAACATCAACTTAGAATGACCAGAGGAATTCAAAGTGATAACACACCGCTCATGCTGGCAGGATTAAAGAAAGCTTCAGGGGAGAGACGTCATCTAAATGTTGAAAATGAATTAGTCAGTGAAAATTAGTGGGAAAGGACATTATAGTCCACCTACGGACAGAAACAACACCACCAAAAACACCACCACCAAACCTAGTGCAGGGTCCCTGAAGGAATCACCATCTAAAATCACTATCATGTTAGTACTTAGACCAAATCAGTCCTCAGTCTCTCCTTTCTCCCAACCCACAATGTTCATACAGTCATGCTGTCTCAAGACTTTATGTCAGACAGTTTTCTCTTCTCCACCAATTCTTTGTGAAGATGTCAGGTTTGTTTTTCACAAAGGTTTTAGGAGAATAAAAGATATGCCATTCAACAGAAAGAGTACGCAACTTTTCAGTTTACTTAGGAGGTGTTGTTTGGCCAACGCTCTTCGGTGAGGAGCAGGGCATGAGAAATTTCCTCCAGCTCAATAGAAATATTTTGTTTCATGCACAGAGGCATGTCCCATCATATCTTCTGCATAGTTCATAGGGACTGAAACACTCATCAGTTACCTTGTTAAATGTTGTCAGATTCTTGTACTACCTGTATTATTTTTCTGTATTTTATTGAAACAGGCTTAGTTTTCAAATGTTCGTTTAAAAAATGAAAAAACAATATTATTTGCTATAGTGGAACATAATTATAAAATTATAAGACAAGTAAGTGATTGATGGTAAATCATAAAGGAAGACTGCAAGCACACACACACACACACACACACACACACACGCACGTACTACTGCCTCTTATCTATAACACTATGAGCTAAGTATTATTACTACTTTGTTGTTTTCACTCCATTGTAGAGATAAGAAGATGAAAGATTGTCACTTTAAATGTTGCTTAATTTTCACTAAAACTAGGTACTATTCATGCCTGAGGTCATCTATTTATTAAAAAGATAGATCAGCAATAATTAGAGACAGCCTGTTAAAAATTTAACAGGTGGCTCTCTCTGAAAGAAGAAACGAAAATCCCTGAGTTGCATTTTCTAATTTCCATGATATAGATGCTTCTAAGCTGACCAATTTCAGCCTTCCGAAGTACCACTTACCAGCTCCAGCAATTACTGAAAAGTTAACTCTGAGCTCCATTAAGTTTCCTCAAAACACAATTCTAGTGGTCCACTAATGAGGTCATCTATGCACATAAATATGCACATAAATCACCAGGAAACTCTGGTATTCTACAGATGCTGTTCCTGTTTGTCCTCTGAACTCTGGTGAAAGTATACGGTATTTTTACATGGCGTCATTCTACTGTCCCCATTCCCTACCTTCCTATTTATTCCATGTATAACACCAGAAAAACTGTCTAGCTAACTGATTGCGTGCACATTTATGTAATCAGGTGATTTTAAGACTTCGTGTTCAAAGTTCCTTTCCATTTGGAGGGAAAAGATATTCTACTGTAACATTTTGAACTTTATTGTTTATATGCTTGCAACGCTGACATATGCAGAGCTACTGTTCCCCCCTTAGAAGATCAAAGAATAAATTTATAAACATTTTTGAGATGAAACTCAGTGTGATGTCACTTATCAAAATTGAAAGACGTCGTGGATATAGCTGCATACACTGCCTCACTCTCTACAAGAAAGAAATTAAGGAAGGGTGCAAAGCTTAGGTTAAAAACCAAATCAATTTATTTTTACATTTTTCCAACCATGATATGTATGTCTGAC